TTGTTTCTGTAAAAGGAGAAGAAATAAAAAGTTAAAAAGGGGAGATTATGATGTCGGAAAAAGAAGCAAACTGAGGTTGCTGTTGTTGTTATGTCATTTTAAAATAAAATAAAATAAATATTATCATATAAGCCGAGATTTCCGGTGCTTATTTTTTTAGTTTTTCTTTATTTTATTTATTTATCTTAATTTAAATGATATTAAAAAAGTATTTTATTATTCCTATTTTTGTTATATTCTTTTACAGCTTTTCATGTATATTCTAAACAAAATGTTGGACCAATTTTTGAACTAAGAAAAATATAGTAATACGTTCTTATTTATGTTTTTTTTTTACATAACTTTTATATTTCAGTGGTTATGTAGTATTCTGTAATTTTTTATAATATTATGAAAATAATTTAAAGATAACTATTATAAAAATTAACATATATTTTCTTTTTCTTTTTACTTTATATATTTATTGAATTTGGAATAATCAAATGTGATATTTGGAATGAGGTTAATTAACCCAACCCAATGCTGATGCTGTGACCAGCCCAGCCTGTTGCCTGTCGGTCAATGGTCAATGGTCAACGGTCAATGAATCATTTTCAGATACGTGAAATGCTGATAATCTCATAAAATAAATACATTTAAATTTATAACATTAACAATAATAATAATAAAAACATTATTTTCACACAATAAAAACATATATCATAGTTCCAGATATTTGAAACTTTTAAGTTTGTTCATCTAATGCCCGATATATTTTAAATTCTTTAGAGAGCTTTATAAAATTAATATATAAAATCTATTTTAGGTTTTTTATAATATAAGATAAAAAAATAAATTTTTATTCATAAATAAAACTAATTATAATTTTAAATATTATTGTCGATTCTTATATATTAATTATGATATATAATTTTAGAGCATTATTTTTATTTTCTTCACAATTTATTTAGATTTAAGATATAATTATAATATGTAAAAATGTGTATTTATTTTTTATATTTAAATTTTTATTCATTAATTTTATTTAGAAACCAACCTTATTGAAGATACTATCAATAAAATATGTTGAGAATAATAACTGTGGTGATAAAAATGTATAAATTGCATGAAAATGGTATCAAATTTATAAATGAAGTTGAAAAAATCAATAATGATACTAAATAACTTGTTAATTAATAGAAAAAATGTGTTATCACAAAAAGAATATTTTTTATTTTTGATAAATAAGATTAACATCATAATATAATATAAGTTATGAAATCAGATAAAAGTTATTTCTATCTAACGACAACTAGAGAAAACTATTATGTAAAATAGAACACATAAATAATTGTCTCATGTTTTTTTTATTCTAACTACACACTTTCTAGATCAAGAATTTAACCTAAACATCTAACACTTTAGTATAATAATTAAAATATCTTTGACTTGAGACAACTAAATCTATGAATTTATGATTTATTATATAGTCACTAACACTTTTCCTTCCTTATCCTAGGTGATGTGGAGATTTTCAATATGTATTATTTATTTTATCAACGCAACAAGCAAATCATCATAACTATGCATAAATCATACTTTTTGCACGTCCTTTCTACTTCTTAAACCTCCACAAACCAATCTTAGATTAATCGGTAGCAAAGATTCATCCTTTTCCATGGCAACGTGATTATGCCATGAGTATCTTTCTAGCATCTTTCACAAAAGATCACCTTCTCCTAAAATGAAAGATACACTCTTATTATATGAATCTAAGTCACTTTTCATGATGTTTCTCCACCTCAACAATTTTCATTCACATTTGCAAGAACATTCTTAGCCAAACACACGCGGATTGCATTAACAACTCTTAAATATAGCTCCTCTCATTCCTCTTTATCCATGTCAACAGTTATTCCTTTCAACACCTTGTGTAGTTCATATTGTATCAACACATCCTTGACTTGAGTTTTCCAAAGCCAAAATTCATCATTCCATAAAACATTTCTTTGTCACATTTGAAAACACTTGAAAATGTCATTACAACCTCATTAACTACTAATGATTCTTCAATAATAAGAAATTAATATTTTCTAATATGGAAGATCAAAATAAGCTGCAACTACAAACTATATTAAGAATATTCTACCGAACCACAAACTCTTGATACCACTCTAATGAAAAAACGTGTCATCATGAAGAACATCAACGTCTTTGCCCCTTGAGAATTACCTTAATAAAATCAACACAATAATATAATATGAGAACTCCAAAACCGAAGAAAAATCACTCCCGTTATCTAATGACAACTAGAGAATAACACTTTGTGAAAAATTTTACAACATAGATAATTATTCCATGTCCATTGACCCCAAGTACACCCACACCCTCTAAATAAAGAATTAATCCTTAACCTCACAACGCTACACTATAATAATATAAGAAAAATCAAATAGAAGCTTAAAATGTTTTTGACTTAGAACAATTAAAACTATGAAGTTAGAGTTTATTATAGTCAGGGCATTCATTTTCTTATCTTAGATGATGTGCAACTTTTTAATAATATTTTTTCTTAACAATAGTGATAAAAACGTAAATATAGTTAAAGTAGTAATAATAATAAATATAAATATGTATATTTATTAGCAATGAAGAAAAAAATTATCAAAGTAATAAGAGAACACCTTTCTTATATTAAAAAACTAATATCACAATTTTTTATTTTAAAAATAAATATTAAATTATTTTAGAATTAAGTTTAATATGATTAATTTTTTTAAAACATGTTTTATTTTTCTCAAAAATCATAATTTATTTGTAAAAATCAAATATAAAAACTGATAATCATTGTAAATATTATTAGAGTTAACAAAATTGATTAATGCAACTAGATTGACTATTGATGACCATTGATTCACAGGAAATAAGTTGATTATTCCACTTATAGTTTTACTAGTTTTTTTTTCACTTAGTTATCTATTTTTATATTATGATATATTTAATTATATAAAGATTTTAAAGCTTTTTTATTAATTAATAAGTATCTCTAACTTGTTTTATTATAATTGATAATTTGAATTTTATTTGAAAGTGTTAATAATTTAAATTGTAACATTATTGATATAATTCAAATTATTATTAATTAGAGCATCAAATTCATATTGCATTGCAGATTTCTAATTAAGGTTTGAGAAAACAATTTTGAGATTTTTGAGAAAAGGTGATATGGTCAAGTCATCAATAGAAACAAAATGGTTAAAGAGTTTTCTGGGTTTGTAGGCACTTGTCATGCTATAGGCTTCAACGGTAGGTTAGGCTGGTTTAAAGTGGGTGAGGTAGATAAGCTAGTCGTGAAGGTGGATGCGATGGATGATGAGAAGAGTAATCTCGTGGGCTATGGTTAGTCAAAGGTTTCATACCAAAGTTGATCTAGGGATGAAGAGAGGGATGTATATCATTAATGAAATGGTTATAAGTATATATAAGAGAGGAAACCATATTGACAAAAGGAAATTGTATTTCATAAAAAGTGACATGTGATAATATTATTACCTTTTTGTGCAACAAATCAAAACATTTATAACCTCTATAATTAAGGGAGTATCCTAAAAAAACACAAGAAGTAGTTTGTGGTTGTAGTTTGTTAATGGTAGGAGAGTGAAACAAAGGATAACAAAGATAACCAAAGACTCACAAATGAGTATAGAAGTGAATGCTCCATATTTGGTTAATGTGTGTTTCTTGGTGACAACCTAATATCTTGGTCTTCAAAGCACTTACACATTTTTTCTGAGACTGAATATAGAGGTGTTGCAATTTGTTATTGAATCTTGTAGACTTCACAATCTCCTTCTAGAGCTTCATTGTCCTCTCCCTTAGGCTATTTTGACATACTGTGATAATGCTAGTGCTATTTATCTATCTAGTAGTTATGTGAAGCATCAGTGCACAAAATCTATTGAAATGAATATTTACTTTGTTTGAGAAAATATAGCATGTGATCAGACACAAGTTCTTCATATCCATTCCGGCCACCAGACCGCTAAGATCTTCACTAAAGGCCTATTTTGAATTCTTTTTTATAATTTTTGGACTAATCTAAACGTTCATGAATCTTTCACTTAGACTACAAAGTTGTAATAAAATCCAAATTATTCTTATAAAATTAAGTCAACTAACCATTGATTTCCTATAATTAAACTAATCATAACAATATATAATTATGAACACCGTAATTACAAAAGATTCAATAACCTAATTAAAATGTTTGGAATCATTTTGTTATGTCCAATGAAAATTAATTCACACATTTAAATTATTTTTTACTCTTACAATTGTTATACATCTATTTCATTCAAATAATATATTAGAAAAAATATTAACTTTTTCATATTATTTTAAATTTAAACAACATAATAAACCTATTCCATCCATCTCATGATAAGTTAAGTACATTAGACTATAACATTTTCACATGTTAAACCATCAAATTTTAAGCTAGTATGGGAGGGTTCATTGACCTTAAAGCACTCTTAACACCTATGAGAAACATCTCATGAATCACTAAAATATAAAAGCATCCCCATTCATTAAACATTAAAAAAAAGAAATCACCAAATATTTCATCCTCTTATTTTTCTTTTTTAAGAACTCCAGTTTTTTTATATTTTATTAATTGCATAAAATTAACTAATGTTGCACATATTGCCTTCTTTTTATAACTTACAATCCATTGGTGAGTAGGTTTTTAATTTTCATTAATCAATAACCAATGTACAACTTGCATATTACAATATATTTTTGAATAATTTTTTTGTTATCGTAATAAAATGACTATCATGGTATCTGGAATCCTAAAATGGAAAAACAAATGAAAACACATTTAAAATGGGGCAATTTGCAGACGAAGAGAAAAGAGGGATGCGACTAAGTATACAATTATTTATGCTGTGCTGACTGAGTATTGGTCACTACAATTTGCACATTTTGCATTTGAATACAATATTTTAAATATTACTTTAATATTAGAATCTCATAATTTTTTTTAATGTTGAGATTAGATTTTAAGATGGCGTGCAGACATTTTTGTTCCTTTGCTCTCTTCATTTTCCATTCGTAGACGCCAAGAACCCTAACAGGTACTGCTCCCTTTTCCCTCTGCTCAAACATTCTCTTGCCCTCTTATTTTTTCTTCAAATCATTGCATGGGTTCACATCAAAATCTCTTTTTTCTCCCATTTTCCCACTTTCATTTTAATCTTAGATTTTGTTGATCTGTTTGGTTTTTACCTCAAAGATCTGATTTTTGCTTACTTCTTTTTCATGCTAAAATGGATCTTGATCATAACCCAGAAGCTGAAATATTTGGGGAAGGTGGTTTTGCATGTGTGCATTTATGGGATTTGGATAATTTACCCCGTTTACTGGTTCGACTTTATTTGAGCTCAAACAAAGGTGAGTTTTTAGGTCAGACAATTGCATTCTGCTGTTTTTGAAGTTGTAGTTGTTTCACTTTCTGTTTACCGTGTTCAATGCGTTTGTTTTTAATTGTGTTGGTTTGTTAGGAGAATGCAATGGACTTGGATAATCTGTGAGGATATTTAACATAGTGTACATTCACTGGATTGTATACCTGCAAATAGTTTCATCATTTGGTGTTGTGATGGATGGTGATAATGGTCTCAACATCCGTAACTGGGGTTACTATGAACCGGCCACATCGTTTAAGAGCCACCTGGGGCTGCAGCTGATGTCATCCATGCCGGAAAAGCCATTAATCGGAGGGCGCAATGCTGCGGTTTTATCTGGCACAAATGGGGCATTTCACCACAGAGACATTGGTATGTCCCACGCGACATACCCTATGGAATACACTAGAGATGCTTGGATTAGTAGTTACAGGGACAAGTATATGAATATGATACCTACAAATCATAACTATGGTGGTATTCCAGAGACATCTTCGGCACATCAAATTCAAATGATTCCACCGCCGGAATTGCCGAAGGAAGAAAGGGAAGTGGAAGAGGAAGCTGTTGTTGAGAAGGCAACTGGGGGCAGTCGTAAGAAAAGACAGAGTCCTAAGGTGCCGAAATCTCCCAAGGCAAAGAAGTCCAAGAGGGGCCCTCGTGTGCCAAAGAATGAGAATGCTCCCACAGTTCATCGTGCAAGGGTTCCAAAGAAAACTACTGNGTTTCATCATTTGGTGTTGTGATGGATGGTGATAATGGTCTCAACATCCGTAACTGGGGTTACTATGAACCGGCCACATCGTTTAAGAGCCATCTGGGGCTGCAGCTGATGTCATCCATGCCGGAAAAGCCTTTAATCGGAGGGCGCAATGCTGCGGTTTTATCTGTTACAAATGGGGCATTTCACCACAGAGACATTGGTATGTCCCACGCTACATACCCTATGGAATACTTTAGAGATGCTTGGATTAGTAGTTATAGTGACAAGTATATGAATATGATACCTACAAATCATAACTATGGTTGTATTCCAGAGACATCTTCGGCACATCAAATTCAAATGATTCCACCGCCGGAATTGCCGAAGGAAGAAAGGGAAGTGGAAGAGGAAGCTGTTGTTGAGAAGGCAACTGGGGGCAGTCGTAAGAAAAGACAGAGTCCTAAGGTGCCGAAATCTCCCAAGGCAAAGAAGTCCAAGAGGGGCCCTCGTGTGCCAAAGAATGAGAATGCTCCCACAGTTCATCGTGCAAGGGTTCCAAAGAAAACTACTGAAATTGTAATAAATGGAATAGACATGGATATTTCTAGTATTCCAATCCCTGTTTGTTCATGCACTGGAGCACCTCAACAGTGTTACAGATGGGGCTCTGGAGGGTGGCAATCTGCATTTTGCACAACAGGCATGTCATTTTATCCTTTGCCTATGAGTACCAAGCGGCGTGGTGCTAGGATAGCTGGAAGGAAAATGAGTATAGGAGCATTTAAGAAAGTTTTTGAGAAACTTGCAGCTGAGGGTTATAACTTTTCTAATCCTATTGATTTGAGGACTTATTGGGCAAAACATGGCACCAACAAGTTTGTCACTATTAGGTAGGTCTCATCTATTTTCGTCGACTAGCTTTTTATTCCTTTCAATCTGTTTGTCATGTATATATATGTGTAGTGGCCATAGACTGAGGCTTCTTAGTGGTTTGTAGTTCCAGAATTTTCGAGGTCACAAGACATTTCCTGTTCTTTTCTGACTTTAGTATCATCACTTCTTTGGATTGAGTGCCTGGGTATTCAATCATTCGGTTGGTGGGTTGGTTCTGACAGGGAACAAGCTGATAGCATCTTGTCTTATTTATATTTAGAAGTAAATTTTATCAGTTCATGAAATTACTGGTGTTTGAATGTTATATATCCAATCTCTTTTCTACTTCCAACTAGTTTTGTGAGTTCAGTTGTTTTGTGTTGTATTTTTTCTTGTAAAGAACGCCAGAGGTGTTCCAACCAATATACAAAATCTAGGCCTGAAAAAATTGTGCAGCATAGGATACAATATTTTATACTATTAAGAGTATAAATAACTCAACAAAAAATCCCTATTCCTAGACTCCCACTAGACCATAACACCATAAGCTTTCAATATTACAATATTCCGACCCGAAAGTGTAATCCAAGAGCAACTTGATGAGTTCAGAAGGCCTGCATCAGTGTTTGATTATGCCAAGATGAAGTTACACCTCATCCATAAATTCATCACTGCTTTTCTGGAGATGTGTCTTTCATATAACGTTGTTAGCAGCTTTGGTTTGTTATCCTGAGTCTTTTCTTCCAAAATTTATATTTCAAATTAGCCATCAAGAATTTGAACATAATTTCTGTTAACTATGGAAAGTATATCTGCACAGGATGCGGTACTAACTGTATCCGGTACCTGTTAATAACACCTGAAGCCCTATACAAAACATACACAGTGTGCGCCCAGAAGCCATTCTTGCTTCACTGACTCAACTCATCATGTAGGAACTGTTAATAGCACCCTCATGGGATATTACTAAAACTGAACTCACATCCTATATTAAAGGTTGTTTAGTGTTGTACAAAACCATACCTAGTTAGAATGTGCCTATTTGACATGTGAATGCTAGGCTCTACTTGGAAACACTGCACACTGTCATAAATTGCAATGTGTTTTTGAGAACGTCTGGTTCCATGAATGATTCAGCTTGTTTTTGAAGAAATTGACTGGTTTGAATTGGTAAAAGCAATATTCAGCTCTACTTGAAAACACTGCATAGTCCTAAATTGCAATGTGTTTTGAGATGGTCTGATTCCATGAACGATTCAGCTTGTTTTTGAAGAAATTGGCTGGTTTGAAGTGGTAAAAGCAATATTCAGTGTTTTTTCAAAATATTTTTCCTTTTTACTGTTTTTCTTTGTAAAATGAATGGCAGTGCTCTACTTCCGAGCATACGTAGTTCAACAATTTTATTGCTGAATCATCTATACTATTTCGTGGTAGATGCTGTTCATCTTTTAGAGGTTGTTTATTTGAATGAATTCGAGAGAGAATAATTGAATGAATTTGAAAGGATTTAAAGATAAATTTTTTTGTTATTTATTTGAGTAGATTTTGAAGGTAAGTGAAAGTTGATTTTAAAGTAAATTTTTTAATGTGTCACATTAATCAAATTTTACACTAATTCTCAGAAATTTTACTTCCAAATTCACTCTCACTTGCAAAATCCATTCAAATAAACTAACAAAAAATTTAACTTCAAATTCATTCATTCACTCTCCCTCAAATCCATTCAAGTGAATAGGGTTTTAGAGCCTCAAATCCATTCAAGTGAATAGGGTTTTAGAGAGTCTGGTTTATTGAACATTATAATACCAAAAAGATGAATATTTTTTCTCTTTAATATCAAATAATAAACAAAATTTATAATAACATAAATTTCAAAATAGAATATAAAATAAATTAAAAATATTTTAATAATTTAAGACCGAGACCAACAAGACTTGTGTGCATTATATTCCATTTGAAATATTGCCTGTATTATAGGTTTTTTCTGATTAACATCAAGATACATTTCAATACACAAATTTATTTGACTTGTGTGTGCTTTAAACATTAGACGAATTTTTGACATGTATCATAATTCGTATTGTAATGAAGTTGTGACAACTTTATGTGAATTTCCACATGTTGGATAACAATATTATATAATTTAGATTTAATCACAAATTAATACACTGTACAGTTATTGACTTTTCTAAAAATATTTTTCAAATCAAATTTAAAATCTTTTTAATTGATATTGAACTGTCTGAAATTCATTTTAAACTCCTGTAAATGGAGAAACCACTAATTCTGTAGAATTCTTTTATATTGACCTTAAATTAGATGAGAAAGACCTTCAATAACATACTCTTTAATGTGCTTTTTTTTTTTTATCATTAATTAAAATTAACTAAACACCCTTAAATTAGGCATAAAACTCATAACAAAAGAGACTCGTGAAATTGTGTTTTTAATAAATCTCTGGCAATGTCAGTAAAATAATGCATTTAAAAAATAAATGTTAAATAATGTGTTTTAAATACTTTTTTAATGTGTATAATAAATTTATTAACTTTTATAATCATTGCTTTAAAAATTATATTTAATGTAATTTTGTATTTATTGACATTTTTATTGAGAGCAATGTGAAATCATGGAATATATATTCTCAGCTAGGACTGCTTGTAAACTACTTAAAAATAAGCTTTAAATAATATTGATATTTTAAAATAATATATACTTTCACTTCAATAAAAAAAAAAA